TTTTTGACATTGACCGTGTGACATTTGATTTCAACAGGAACTCGTCTCGATGTCAAATAARCTAATGAAATATGAAGGTGTACAAATGCTTTCTGTGAGTTCAGTCATAACATATAGCTACAATRTATTGCGCGCTCCACTGATTGGTTTATTAACGTGGCTTCGGTGCGCGAGCCTTAGAGGCTTTTCCCGCGCTTCTCCACCTCCCGCGTAAATCTATGATTTAACAAAAACGCGCGAAATGTTGACTATTTCTYAACTCTTTTACTCTGAGCATAATGTTTCCCATTTCAGAATTCGTGTATTCGCATTGAGTATTATTTTTTATCTGCAAAACTTGAGAATATCATCGATCCCTTGCTTAAAAAAAGAACCTTATCCCGACTAGTCAACTAACTAACAAGCCGTTGCGTTTTTGCCTTTCCGCGATCCCAATTTAAAAACTAGACTAGTAACGACCTCGTGGAGCATTGTGGGTCTAATTTTGTGGACGCGATTTAAAAAAACTCGCCATCTTGAGTCCTTGGCCCCACTAAACATGACTTTTGATGTTGTATGAAGTTTACCAATCTGACTCAAAGAATTATCTTTTGCAGCATGTCACGAATAAGGAACAATTACGAGGACCCCCTGGACTTAAAGTAGGTATCCATATTATCATTTATTTAATATTACCACTTTATTAATAATCAGTACTTAGAGAGGCACGGTCATGGCGCACATGTTTATTAGTTGACATTCTTCCAATCAAACACAGCACGTGAGATTACTGTCCATCCTTTCATCATTCCCAGACATGGCTTTGCTAAGGTCACGGTGATGTGCATTCGAGTAGTTGCTCACGCCTCAAGGATACCTGCTCATAAACATGGACCTTGGTACGGTTTATAGGAAACATTCCCTAATTAATCTAGAACTACTTGATTGTTTATTCTAAATAGCCCGCCATCAAGGCTCTCTGAAAGAAATTTAGTGAGCTTCTACTATTATTGTGGGTCTTTTGTTGTACTAATATTTTTACCATACACTATTGACCATCGTATGTTTTTTTTTAAGGGAGAAAGAGGCGAAGAAGGACCAAGAGGACCCCCGGTAAGTTTTTTTTGTCATACTCTAACTTAGACTTACTAGAAAATTAATCATATAAATGCTGCGTATTTGATTGGTTATTTTCTTGTGGTCCCAGTATTGAACTGAGAGGGACACCCATAAGTAGTCGAATGATTATTCCGCCGAAAATGATGCACACATTATACCATCAAAAATCTTAAATTATATATWTCGTTTGAAAATTATTTTGACTTTATTTTTGTTTAGTTTAAATTTTCCACGGGCTTTCAATTAATTTTTTTTTTCTTCTTGAATTTTTCCGCACTAAAATACTACTTTGAAGAGAACTTTAGTAAGATAAATACTACTATTTAAATCCGTCTACTTACTACAACTGCTACTACTACTAATAAGACAGTTCTAGGACATCACAACTGGGTCTTGATGCCCTTACAGAAAGCGGCAAAAAATAAAAAGGAAAAATTATAAAAAATATATATGCATAAATATTCACAGATACGTTCGTATATGAGGTTTATAAGTTAAGGCCCCGTCCACACGTATCCGGAAATTTTTTATCTGCAAATTATTTTTTGCGGATACGAAAATGTTTGCGTCCACACGCAGCGTATTCGAATCGTTTTCGAATCGTTTTCACCGTCCACTCATGTCCGTTTTCGTAAAATTTGCGGATACGGACACAAAAATTTCCGGACACGTGTGGACGCAACCCGTATCCGCAAAAAAAAAATTGCGGATACAAAAATTTGCGGATACGTGTGGACGGGGCCTAAATAAATAAGTCTTTAGTTCTCCTTTGAAACGATCTACAGATGGTGAGTGACGTAAGCACACTGTGATAAATGACCTATATTTTATTGCGCGCKTTCTTCAATTTCCATTCAAAGTCATTACCATAAAATCTCTACCGTTAAATGTAACTGTGATTGAGTTTTTAGTTTTTCTGCATTTAAGGGAACTCCTTTTCTAGATATTCGCTTYTCCATGCTAGGTACATAATATACTAAGTGCAAACAGCCTGATATTAGCGCTTCACATCTGTGTGCACTCCATTTCTCTGCTTAAACAAAGGATTGATATCTTATTCATTACTCTTATGGAATCCATTTAAAATCGCAAAGATATCTTCTACTTATACTATTGTTTTACTTCGGCTTCTTAAAATAAAGAGTAATTTTCCTTCCTTCCTTCCTTTCTTTTTTGTCTTTTTTACTCCATTTTCTTTGCTCATGGCATCCAAAATAATCTCTCTTTTGGAATTAATTTAAAATTCGAAAAGATATATTCTACTTATATTAATTCTGATTTACACCGGTTTCCTTAAAGAAGGTTTAATTTTCCTTCCTTCCTTCCTCTTTTGTTCTTTCCTTTTCTCATAATCTTTTCTCAGAGATTCCTTTATATAAATCATCCAAAATAATTTTGCTTTAGGATCTCATTTCCCCAGATACCACACTGTTTAGTTGGAAAAAAGCTTTGATATATACCTTTACGATTTTTTGCCTCTATTTTTAAAATAACTTCAGTTTTCCATACCGCACTAAAAGTCGCTACAAGGTCTCAATATAACGTAATATTTCAGTTCTTTATAACTTTTCAATACAAGTTTTAATTCACATCCTACTTTATGTGCATTCCCAACAGAAAAAAGGTTTGTAATTTAGTGAATATTGCTCCAAAAGACTTTTCAAACACATATCTTTGTGCATATCTGTTTTCCTCATACGTTATATRAGTGTATTGGATTAATATTGCCGCAGTACCGAAGGTTGATGCTGAAGTGAGCTCACGTGTTTCTGTTCTTATCGTTATCATYGTTGAGTAGTTGATGTAAGATTCAGTGAGGTAATACTAGCACATTTGTTAAGTGCTTCGGGCACTCCTAATTGGATTTGCCTTCACACCTGCGTACTCTAAACCTATTTTTTTCTGTAGCTGAAAAAGTAAAAATGGTTGCAACGATCATATACTAGTAGACTTCTAGTATTGAAAGCTAGTCTATAGTTTTACAAAGACCAAGTCATGCACAGGCTGCTCAAAAATAGCTATAAGTACTTTTACACGGCAATGAGGGTGGTTAGCACGGGTGGCGTGCGCTTCTTATGCGTCGTCTCTCACCAATGCGACCCGAGTTCGAGCTCCGCCCTGCTCGGTTTCGTATGTGAGTAGAGTTGTTWGTTGGTTCTCTCCTGTGCTTCGAGGGTTTTTCTCCAGGTTCTCCGGTTTTCCTCCCTCCGCAAAAATCAACTTCTAAATTCCAATTCGATCTTGGGCTTTCACCTAGCATGGATCTGTGGTTCCGTTCGTGTTTGTCCCTCTCTGTGATTACAGACAAAACTGGTAGATTTTAGATTTTACACTCAAACTCTTAGTATAATATGCGGCTAGCCGTCTATAGATGTTTGCACTAAACTCGTAGCATTGTATGATGTATTTAGCTTAAGATCTTAAAAATGGCTAGGCAAATAAGTATTCTCTAACATTTACTCTTCATGTGTAACTTATGAGATCATATTTGTAACTTATGAGTGTTCTTCCTATACATTCCCATACTGGATACATACGCTAAGTCTTCCAACGCCTTCTTCCGGATTCCATTTCTTAAATTTCAAATTCCGTTTTTGGGATACTCAATTTATTAAGCAAAATTTCCGAAACCTTTTAATTTTTGTGATCCTATTTAATCTAATTTCTAAGCAGACTTTAAATATTTGAACCCATAGAAATATTTAGTCGATTTTCCCTTGCTTCCCCTACCTACCCCCCCGACATTATAATAGTGTGCACAAAGTACCACTAACGCTCCTTTTAACATTATTTTTTCCTACATCTAATTAAAACACTCTATTTGATCCCCATTTCTTTACTAGTAATCTCCTTATAATCTTTCTTACCTAAAATGTTATTGGTATCACGGTTATATTGATCTAGTATCGCTAACAAAGAATCCATAATGGCTTCCATCAGGCTATCCATAAATAGAGCGGCTGACTTTGAGCTTCTTTACTGTAACTTTATTTACCTTGACTGCAATCTATCTGTTAATGGTATTAGTCATTATTTGTTTAGTTTAATTTTCTTCATATTATCGATACCTTTTAGCAAATGTGTTTCAATAAAAAAAATAAAATAAAAATAATAATAAAGAAAAAACAAGGAAAAAAAAAGATAATGATAAAAAAATTTTTTTTTGAACAATGTCCCAAGAAAAGAATCTTCATTTTATAATTTCAAAGAAAGGAAGAATAGGAAAGGGAATGACAAAAG